TCAGCGAGAGAGAAGCCCGACCCGACCCGAACCCGAACCAATGATTGACATTTTAGGGCCCGACCCGAACTCGGGCTCGGGCGGCCCGATCTTACCTCTACACCAAAGGCGCCCTCGCTCAAGAGTATCCAGCTGCAGGCTCGGAGGAGGGTCGCTTCAGGCAATGGGCGACATACGCCGGAAGTGGCTGTGGTAAATTTCGGCAAATTGATTTCAAAAATAAAGTCCCAAAGTGGCTGTGGTCAGTTGAGGCATTTAACTGTACACTTATCAAGACTTATCTATCGATCTAGATTTAAATTATTTTATCTTTCTTTCAAAATGAAGTTAAGATTATTCATATTTTTTTCTCAAACTAATTGGAGATAGAATTACTTTGACAATCAAATACTGTACTTTATAATGCCACTTTTTCTTTTACCTTTTGATCTGCTTCAATATTGTAACAAATTTAGAATGAAAATAGGGCTTTTCTCGGTCATGTTTAGATGAGATTCAAATGAAATGAATTACAGATTCGATTTGGTGGCTGACATCATCCTCGATTCCAAATTTCAGATCAAGTCACCCAAGTCCCACGTGCCTACGCTGCTTTTCTCAGCGACTATGTAGCCACATGGCATCTCTAAACGATTCTATCCATAGAAAATCGATATTGATGTGAGGACGCATTTACAACCACATTTACATTTGCAATGACTTCCTTCATTGAAGTGAAATTATGAGCGATGTACAGACGATGAATCAAATACAATGGCGCAGCCTGTTCGGGAATCGATTCACACCGTTCAAAGCCACGCCGTGCGCAACAGACGAGATGCGTTCGAAAAATGCACATCGCCTTCTGATTGAAAAAGGAAAGAAAAAAAAAACCACGACGCCGGTCAAGAGCACGTTTTAATCAGAGGGCGGCTTTATGCGTCCACAAATGTATTTTCGATGCCGGGGAGCAACATGTTAAGAAAGAACGCAGTTGTTGCTTTTTGGCCGTTTGCGCGTGGTCAGTTGAGCGCCGCGGTCGGCGGCTCCTATCCCGGCGCCGCACTTGCGGACGAGCTCCTGATTGCTGAGGTGGCGAATCCGGAGGGGTCGGGGTATGGGCTCCCCGAGGAAGTAACCTTCGTCCTCCGATTCCGACGACGACGAGCAGGTCGAGCACGAGTCGTCGCCGTCGTCGTCGTCCCAGGAGTATTGATTCAAGCCCGCGCGCTGCCCGGCCGCCGGGTTCTGGAGCGTCAGGTCGGACGCGGTCCTGGGGCACTGGCCGAAAAGTTGCGGTCGGAACCCCCCTCCCTCTCCTCCTCCTCCCGTGACTCCAAAGCGCTCCTTGGCACTCCTCCGGGCAGGGAAGCGGTCGTCGTCCTCGCGAACGCGAAGCCGCAGTCTTTCTTCAGGTCTCGGCCGACACTCCGCCACCGAGTTGAGAGCGTTTTCTGAGCGAGATCGGCGGGATCTTCCGGAGCGGCGGCGGTGGCGTCTGCGTCTCGGAGGGGCTTCCTCTGGCACTTGGATCCGGACACTTGAACCTCCGGCGCCTCCCCCGACGCCGCCGCTTAGCCCGCGCTCCCTTATGGGCGGCAGGCGGGCGGCGTTGGCGCCGCTCGCCAAATTCCTTCCGTCGTCGTCGTCCCGACGGGCGAATCCGGGAGGGAAATGAGCGGAGCTCTTGCCCGTCTCCACACCGGAGGGCTCACCGGAGTTCACGTGGCGCCGAGAAGACCCGGAAGGATCGATTCCCACGTGGGGCTGACCGCCGTTGACGTGACGAAGGGAGTCGGAGCTCCGAAAGCGCACCGAGGAGTTGGGAGCGTTCAAGGAGCGTTTCTCCGAGACGCCGGGTCCGGAGTTTTTGCTCAGATCGGGCATGGAGAAACGCGACAGTTGCGCCGGTCGCGTTCCGTCTCCTGGGGCGGAGTCGCCTGCGAGGTACAACAATTGACGGTCGCGTCGCCGCGTCAAAAGCGAATGGCCGCGGCGCCACCCACCCGCCGTGTCGGAGAGGGCCAAGGACTCGGCGGATCCCCCCGGGGTCCGCTCGAGAGGCGTCGGCCGCTCCGCCAGATGAAGCGCGCCGATGGGGTTTGGGCTTGTGGGCGTCCGGGCGTCCGGCGGGGGAGCGGCCTCCCCGTCCCTCCGAAAGCCACGCAGACCGACGGAGCGCTCGCGTGCGGAAAAGCCGCCGTTCTGTCGCTTGGGCCGAGGCGCCTCGGCGAGACTCGTCCGGGTCGCGAGCTCCGGGGGCCGGCCGGCGGTCTCCTCGGACCGCCGGTCTCCCCGACCCTGCGGTCTTGCTGTTGCTGTTTCTGCCCGGTGCTTGGTGAGTTGGAGGAAGTTCTGACATCGCGCTGACTGAGGAGCTGCGGAGGGCTGGGCCTTGCGCTCGTTTCGGCTCGGGATTCAAATTTGGAACCGTCGACAATTTGCTCCCGCTCCCGGTCCCGATCCCGGTCATTGTCCTGCCAGGCAGCCGGCTCGCGCGTCAAAGCGGGTGTTTGGCTGGAGAGACTCAGTAGGTCCATTTGGAAAGACAAGGGGTCCACTCGGCCCCACGAGGTCTCCGTCCGCCCCCCGCCACCGCTCTTCGGCGCCTCGGAGCCGCGTCCGGACTCTGTGGCGGAGCGAGCGCTTTGAAAGGCGCGATCCGAGGAATCCGAGCCGTCGGGTTCCTCGCCCGCGCCGCAGGACCGGGAGCAGAAGATCCGCCCCCGCTCGGGCAGGAAGGGGCGACCCAGCAGCGGGCGTTTGCAGCGGGCGCAACAAAAGCAACCCTCGGAGGCGTGCCAGTGCCGCCCGTCGTACGTCATTTGGCCCTGGTCGATGCCTGCGGGAAGGACCGCAAGAGGAAACGAGCCGTTACAAGACGGACGTTGTGAAAAACGGCCATCGCTATTTCCAAAGGAGCCCGAGACTCCGATCAAAGCGCCCTTTGCGGCAATCTCTTTGCAATTTGACCGGTCGTGAAGGACGGAAGCGTTTTGCGTCGCCGATGTTTTTTGGAATTGAGTCATGGCAGCCAGCGGCTTATCAAGCATCGCTTTTGGAATCGTTTCGGGGATTGTCGATGACATTGTCGGGTGACGGCATCGCTTTTGGAATTCATTTGGATGTGGGCTGCACGTGAGTCGTGGAGCCTTTGTCTTGTCGGGGAAGCCAAGACAACAAGTGGTCTCAAAAATCAGGAGATGGATTTGAAAAAAACACGGAGGGACACCGTTCGCGGATATGTCGGCGCGTCTCGCGCTCTCGCTTTATCTTGTGAAGGTCGGCGCGATCGGCATTTGGAGTGGCTCAAGCAAATGCGCGCTTGCGCATGAGCGGGCGACTCGGCTTGCGCGCGAAATCACCGGTCAGCGCTCAAAGGTACGAGCGCTGACCGTGAAATGCGTCGGATGTTCAATTCCCGTTGCGCCTTCCGGGTCCCGATTTTATGGCCCGACGCGCGGCCCTATTTGGAAGAAGCAAAGAGCGCCGCGTACCGATGCGCTCGCCGCAGGAATGGCAGTCCTCGGCGTAGAGGGATTGGAAGCAGCGGCAGCAGTACGGGTCGCCCTCCTTCATGATGTAGCGCCGGCCTCCGAGCGCGCCCCCGCACTCCGAGCAGCAGAAGTGCTTCGTGTGCCAGTGACGCCCTTCCGCTTCGGTGCACTCGTCCGCCAAGATGATCTGAGAAGGGACGGACGGAGGGAGGGATCAAAGAGCGCCTTTTCGCAGAGAACGCCTCACGCGTGACGGCGGCGACCAAAGCGACGTCCGTGTTTTTCGTACCAGCGGATCGGCACGCTTCCGCGCGGAGGAGCTTTGGTTGGCGAGGTCGAAGGAGATCCATTTCCGTCCCGTATACGGGACATATTTGCCGCGGTTAAGCCGCTTGAAATGCTCGGCGGCTGCTCCGCGGTATCAAGCGAGGGCGCCCTCCCGACGGAGCGCATCTTCCGGCTGAGGCGCGATTAACCATCGCGGCGCCGTGCGTGCGTTGGTTCGTTCGGGCGAGGGCCGACGCCTCATCAAACGACACCGCGTCACCAAATCGTTCTTTTTTGTTGACTGACTGCACAGGACGCAAACGCAACAAGGGCTGTTTCAAAGTGTTCTCCAAATAAAGTGGACTTGAGTATATGGGACTGTTGCAAACAGAGGACCCACGACACCCCCCCCCACCCCCCC